GCAGTTACATTTGACCCAAAGTTTCAGTAAAACTTATGAATGTAACTTGTGATGACTTTCATCGACTTTTGTTCCACAACTCTCTTGACTTCAAAACATAACACACGGATGTCATACGACTAATATAAATCATAACATAATCTCCTTATCATGTTAAGCACCCTAGTCTCACCCCAAAGGTATATGTTATAACATTCCCAACTTGTCGACTTTTGACGAAACATTATTTTCTTCAATTGCTTTAGCTTCTGAACCGTCCAACCCTCTTTGTACTTGTTGTTCATGATCTTCAATATTTGTAACCTCAGAGGTAACATAATTAAATTACTTTATATACTTTTAAATATTATCTCATTTTTGGTCCTACATTAGTTTGCTTACGACGCATTTTTATGTACGAAAATATAGGGTGTAACAACCCATTCTCTATCTGTTCCTGTTGATTCTATACCTTTGAGGAGGTCCTCTAGACCGACCAATCCCCCATCTTTCCTCAAAGATTATGTTTGCACCAATGTTTTTATTTCTAAGAATACTAACTTTGTTCCTGAAGGTTGCTTGCCTGAACCACAATTCTATCATCAGGCAGTTTCTAATCTTGCATGGCAGGATGCTATGTTGAAAGAGTTTCAAGCATTGGAGGCTAACAATACATGGACAATTGTCCCTTTGCCTCCCGGTAAGAAAGCTATATCTTTTAAGTGGGTTTATAAGATCAAACAGAAAGCCGATGGTAGTATAGAAAGATATAAAGCTAGGTTGGTGATAAGGGGGGACACCCAACAGGAAGGTATAGATTTCATTGAAACTTTTTTCCCAGTTGTGAAACTCACCACCATTAAGTGTTTGCTAAGTGTTGCTGTTAAGCGACACTGGCCTATTTTCGAACTGAATGTTAATAATGCCTTTTTGCGTGGTGATTTAGAGGAGGAGGTATATATGAAAGTTCCTCTTGGGTTGCAAGTTTCTGATTCTCCTTCCACTCTAGTTTGTAAGCTTAACAAGTCTCTTTATGGACGTAGACAAGCTTCCAGACAGTGGTATGCCAAGTTGTCCAATGCCTTGCAATCTAGAGGTTATGTTTCTAGCAAAAATGATTATTCCTTGTTTGTTAAAGAGTATGGTTCTTCTCTCACGGTTGTAACCGTATATGTGGATGATATTCTTTTAACTGGTGATGATTTATGTGAAATACAAGCCTTAAACAGATTCTGGATGAGCAATTCAAAATTAAAGACCTATGGGAGGCTCATTACTTTCTGGGATTGCAGATCATCAAGAAGCCTCAAGGTCTCCTTGTCACTCAACAAAAGTTTCTCTTGGATTTACTTGCTGAATTTAATTGTCTTCATGTTACTTCTGTGGTATCTCCTTTGGATGCTCATTTTAAACTCTCTGCTGATTCTGGTGATATTCTTCCTGACCCTTCTTTGTTCAGGAAGTTAGTTGGGAAACTAAATTTCCTGCAACACACTCGCCCTGACATTTCTTATAGTGTGCAACAACTTAATCAATTCATGGCACAACCGAGGGTCCCACATTTTGAGGCAGCTTTGCATGTGTTACGGTACCTTATTGGTACACCTGACTTGGGGCTGTTGTTTAATGAGTCTCCTTCATTTGCCTTGACTGGTTATTGTGATTCTGATTGGGCAAGTTGCTCTATTTCAAAGAAGTCTGTCAGTGGCTATGTTTTATTATTGGTTGGGTGTCCTGTATCCTGGAAGTCTAAGAAACAAGCCACTATTGCTCTATCTTCTGCTGAAGCAGAATACAGAGCTCTCCGACAATTGGTTGCTGAGATTGTTTGGATTGTTAGATTACTTGGAGAGTTTGGGGTCTCTTCTTTGTCTCCTGTTCCTATCTTTTGTGATAATCATTCTGCCATACATATTGCCCGGAATCCTGTATTTCATGAACGTACTAAGCATATCGAAATAGATTGTCACTTTGTGCGTGAGCAGCTTCAATCTGGTCTCATCAGTTTGCATGTTATTTCCACTACTTCTCAATTGGCTGATGTGTTTACTAAGTCTTTGCCAGGGGTTCAACACTGTACTTTTCCTATCGAAACTTGGTCTGGTTCCCCATTCCAGCTTCGAGGGGGGGGGGTGTTGAAGTTACAAGTGGTCCAGCGGCCCAACACAAAACTGAAGGCCCAACTTGAAATACTTAGCTGTACATACAAGTTAACTTACAAGTGTAGCCTTTTCTTTTACAGGGATAGCCATTTTTATTAGTTGTATATAAAAATGTATAGTTCTAGAATATTCAGATTCTCTAGTAAGAGACACACCTGAAATAAGAGTCCATATTTTCTCTCTCTTAGTAAGCATGGGGTTCACCCTTTCATTTCATCAAATTACTTCGATCCTTGTGCGTAACAGAAACCCCCTAGTCCAGGAAGCTCTGTTATTGCACCGGAACTCAGGCTTAAAGCACTGAATGATACATTATGCTAAAAGAGATAAGTGGACAGTTGGAAGAAAGTGAGATTAAGAGAAAACACCCAAAAATCTAGGAAAATCAGCTTTTCCAAATGTAGATTAACTGGAGTGGCAATAGTATTAAGAAGCTAAAAAATTGTGTTGTACTTCTTGTACAGCTTTTGGCATAGAGTGTCCCGTGGCATAAACGGAGTGTACACGCCACTTTTTCCACAGAAATGCTTGGGAACCAGGAAGTTTTTTGGACCGTTGTCAAACACAGGTGACATCGAATTGCTGCGGTGAATAAAATTACAGATCTATCAAAAGGTCAACCCGCCAAGCAAGAAAGTTTTCAATATGCATTAGCTGTGTAAAGAAAGAACCAGATTAAACGCCCTCTGCCTTTTTTTTTAAAGAAATGCATAAAATTCCATATAAGATCTTTAAAAGTTAAAAATTAAGGAAACATTTGTCTTATTAAAGTTAAAGGATCACAGAACGTTAGCACAATCAATATAGTTCATACTTGTAACGCTCACAAAAATGTAGTGCCATTTCTCCAACTGCTCCACCACTGACAATGACCTTGGCGCCAGAGTTTGCAACTGCTTTAATAAGTTCTTCAACTTTAGCCTCCTCAGTCTTTGAATAATTTTCAAGCTGAAAATGCAAGAAATAGAGGGACAAATAGTGGCAGTGAATTACCCAGACTAAGACGGAAAAGAGGGAAGAAGAAAAAAGACATTAACGCGCTTGGGTGACAAATAATCAAATTTCTGAACTCAAGACTGTGTAAAGTAAAATGTGCTTGAGAACAAAGAACTTATGACTACTAATAACTTATAAATAATTCTAGCACTAACCCTAGGCTTCAAAGCCCATGGTATATGTATTTGACACCTGGATAATCGAGTAAATTGGTTGTAACAGATGCAAAGCATCCTATATTCTATAAGCCAAGTAGATCATTTTATCATAATCATCTATCATGTTTACCAATGTCCGTCAATTTATAGCTCGCAGTTCAACACAGAAACAACTGAACTAGTGCATAAAACTTTTATAATGAGTTATTCTCAGTAACAAGTATCAGTACTAATGATATACCTGCTCAGCACTATGGATAAGAACCGTCCCTTTTGTTTCAGTGGCAGATGTATCAATGCCTTGAGCAAAGACAGCAACCTACAACAAAATAAATGGTCATTTTGGTATAAAATGTTGGTAAAAGATTACGCTAAAAGGATCATAAGTCGGCCTTGCATTTGAAAATATAATCAACCATAACATTTGACACCAAACATGAGGAGAAAGAAATAAAAGCTGCAATTTGTCCAAAAGACAAAGCCAAAGCTCATCATTGCAGTAAAAGGCACAGATTCCTCATGCATTAAAGTGGCTGGTAGACAGAAAAGGCATCACATAGTGAGGCTCAAGCAAAGGCAAAAGGCCAAATATGAGTATCAGGGCACAGTTTTTGTATTACTTGTTCTCAAAATTTAGTGTCGTCAAAGGCTCATCTAAGGCACGCTTAACCCTGAAGCTCAAAAAAGCTGAGGGAGGGCGCTTCACCTCGCTTAAGCTGTGTTTCGGAGTAAGGCAAGGCACTAAGGCATGCGCCTCGTCGCCTATGAGTTCTATCTTGAATCAAGCGGCACTAAACAATAAATATAATCGGAAAATAAGTGTATAAGTTGTTAAGGAAATATTATGAATGAACTTGTTACTTTGTTCTTGAATTATATATATATATATATTTTTATTTTTTTCCTTCATTGCGCCTTTTTTTTTTTTTACTAAAGTCACACTTTAAGTGTGTTTTGCACTTAAAGTCCCCATAGACCTATAGCACTTTTTAGAGCTTTTCGCCTTTGACAACACTACATGACTTACCAGCGCAATCTATGAGCTTTACGTGGAGAAATAACCTGACAATGGCACTCCTAGACATCGATGTTTTCCCATATCTTTCTCACTAAAATGTCTTACTAACAAAGACAAATTCCCATTTAAATTATTAAATTTTCCATCTATGCATCAGTTATCATTCACTTTAAGCATTTCAACAAGTATTTATCCATCAATTGACTGCACCGCCATCTCAAAACATTATTGTTTGGCTACATAAATCTTCTGTAACCATTCCTCTATTAGGAACCACCTGATTACAACTGAAAAAAGTGATGGACTAAAACTCAGAAGCCTGTGGGATGAATTTTAGATTTGGCTAAACTCGGAGTTTGTGATAGATAACAAGCAATGAAGTGAATTCTATCAATCAACTACGATCTTGGCAGAATGGATGGCTAAGCTCCTCTAAAGGATATGCCTTGAATTGTAGCTGGCCAAAAAAAAAGGCATATGTGGCAGATTTTAAGAATGCAGGCAGCTGGTATATTAGATTCGGGAGAGTACATGATTTGGGAGCAGAAGGGGTTTAATTTTTTATTCCTGGGGACTGGAAAGATTTTGTGAAGCAGGACATGAATCTTAATTCTTTCAACCTGAAAAGCAGCAAGAGATGGAAGATTCACCGTTAATCTTACTATAAGATCCGAAGAAATGCAAGGTCCATGGAGATTCATTGCCAGGGAAGATAAATTGGAAAATAAGGTTCCTTCAGAAGTGGATATTTTTTGAATTGATTGCAGCTTGTGAGGCATGTCTATTTTTGTGACGACCTGATAGGTCATTTTGAGCATTAGCCTTTATTTCCGTGTTTCGAGACCACCGTTAGCTTCGTTTGATGTTTCTTGGTTTGTGTGTGTGGTCCGTGTCGCTTTTTGAAAAGCTTTTATGTGAAAATTTGAAGAAAATATGATTTTTTGCTTTAAAAACAACTTGAGTTGACTACGGTCACCTCGAATCGGCGTTTCAACGGTTCCGGTAGGTCCGTATCGTGATTTTGGACTTGAGCGTATGTCCGGAATTGGAATTGGAGGCCCCTATGTTGATTTGATTTATTTTGCCGAAAGCTAGTATTTTGAAAGTTTGGAAATTTCTTAAGTTTGATCGTAGTTGACTTCATGGTTATCGGGTTCGGGTTTTGATGTTGAGACTTGGTATAAGTCCGCATTACTATTTGAAACTTGTCTGCAAAATTTGGTGTAATTCTGAGTTGGTTTGACATGATTTGGATGCTTAGATGTGATTCTAGTTGTTCTTGAGTTTCCTTTGAAATTTCATTCATTTTTATGTTCGATTCGTAAATTTAGATGTTATTTTGTTGATTTGATCGCGCGAGAGTTTATATGATGTTATTACACTTGTGTGCATGTTTGGTTTTGTCACGACCCAAAATTTTCCACCCTCGGGACCGTGATGGCGCCCAACATTTCACTTGCTAGGTAAGACAACGTTAGCCATATTTATTAACCAGTTTTAACAATTCAAATCAACTGATAACAATAACAACTGAATAGTCTGAAATAAGGTGATAAACTACTGAATGACGTAATCCAAATACAATCCCAGAAATTAGAGTCACGAATACATGAGCGTCTAGAGTACTACAGATAATAGTCTGAATAAACACAATTGTTTGAATAAAAATAAACATCAATGATGACATAGAAGGGGACTTCAGGGTTGCGGACGTCGTTCAACTATACCTCAAGTCTCCACAGGTAGCTGGAACCAGGCAATCTCACTAAGCGCTGCTGAGACCAACTCCGGTATCTGCACAAGAAGTGCAGAGTGTAGTATGAGTACAACCGACCTAATGTACTCTGTAAGTGCCGAGCCTAACCTCGACAAAGTAGTGACGAGGCTAAGGTGGGTCACCTACAATATCCTGTACGCAATAATAATAATAATAATAATAATAATAATAATAATAATAATAATAATAATAATAATAATAATAATAATAATAATAATAATAATAATAAGAAAACAGAAAATGGAAGTAAAGCAGTTAACTCATGAAAACGAACTCGAAATTCAACTACCAGAGAGCCTAGAATAACAAGTCTCATAGTCTCGTATCACAATACCGAGGCAAATCCAACAATCACAAAGAAGTACCACATATACACTCGTCACCTCGCATATACGTTATTTTCCACATAATTCACATAACACATAGTTCAAGGATTCCTAATTCCCTCAAACCAAGGTTAGACCCAACAATTACCTCACTCCACGAATCAATGCAATCAAACAACCACGGCCTTGCCTTTCGAACAAGCCTCCAAACCAACCAAATCTAGTAAATTATTGATCAAATGATTCAAAATAAGCTTTAGAAACTACCCATTAATGAAAGAGGTTAAATTTTGATCATTTTTTAAAAAGTCAACAAAAGTCAACCCCGGGCTCGCTTACTCAAAACCCGAGGTTCGGACCAACACCCGATTACCCATTCACCACCGAGCCCGGTTAAGTGATTTATTTCGAAATCCGACCTCAATTTCGAGTTCGAGCAACCATTCTCACTCGGGGACTATCTATCGAGCCCAAGGGCTGCCATTAATTCGAGTTCGAGAAATCATTCTCACTCGACCATTAAGCCTAAGGCCTACATTACTTCGAGTTCGGGCAAACACTCACTCGACCATTAAGCTTAAGGGCTACATTACTTCGAGTTCGAGCAAAAACCCTAAGGGCTACCTCAGTTCGAGTTCGAGCAAACACTCACTCGACCATAAAGCCTTAGGGCTATTCTTATTTCGAGTTTGAGCAAGTCCTCATTCGACCACTAAGCCTAAGGGCTATTCTTATTTCAAGTTCGAGCAAATCCTCACTCGACTATAAAGCATAAGGGCTGCCCTAACTCGAGTTCGAGCAACCATTCTCACTCGGGGACTATCTATCGAGCCCAAGGGCTGCCATTAATTCGAGTTCGAGAAATCATTCTCACTCGACCATTAAGCCTAAGGGCTATATTACTTCGAGTTCGGGCAAACACTCACTCGACCATTAAGCTTAAGGTCTACATTACTTCGAGTTCGAGCAAAAAGCCTAAGGACTACATTACTTCGAGTTAGAGCAAACACTCACTCGACCATTAAGCTTAAGGGATGCTCTTACTTTGAGTTCGAAGCGAACACTCACTCGACCATAAAGCCTAAGGGCTGTTTTTCACTTCGAGTTGGAGAAATCATTCTCACTCGACCGTTAAGCCCAAGGGCCACATTGATTCAAGTTCGAGCTATTGCCCAGAACTGGGAACTACGTATCAAACTTAAAAAGGCTACACTGTTTCAAATTTGAGCAAATCATTTCATTTGACATCTATCCATCGAGCCTAGGGGCCACCTCAGTTCGAATTCGGACATTCACTCGGGGACTGCCTATAAGAAACGGCCGAGTACAATACCTACTACCGGCGTTTACTATCTTAATCTTGGACCTTCGAATAATTATTCAATGCTAAGGCATTTTTGACCTTTGTATAAATTAACAAAAAGGCAAAAGATTAGAAAGCCATAAAGGGGAAAAGGTTTTATATACAAATCTTTTACGAAGGCAACTCGGCCCGAATGAAGTTCTTTACAAAGGCCGAAAGCAGCCTCAAAAGAAATAACAACAACTACCTAAGATCCTAAATGGCTTGGTCTTCATTGGAGGTCGCGTCCTTGACATCTTCCCTACCTTCAGATTTGCTCGAGCTATCGGAGTCTTCCTCAAGGAAGGCCAGCCTTCGAGCTTTGTTTTCCTCCGCCATGGAAATTTTGATCTCGGCCCCAACATCGAAGCCCTGAGCACTGACCTTCTCGAGAGCTTCTCTCCGAGCCTGACATTTAGCGTGCTCGACCATGCTCTTGGCTTTGGCTTGATTGACCTCAACATCGATCCTGAACTAGGCCACTTTAGCATCAACTCTTTTATTGGCCCCGATCACCTCAGATCTGTCCACTTCAAGTTCATCAGCCAAGCTTGCTTTATCAGAAATAGCCAAATCTAACCAATGTTGAATCTCCTTCATTCTCTCGATTAGCCCCGAGGCATTTTCTTTCACAGATCGAAGTTGGGTCTCAGACAACTCTAACTGAGCTTGAACGACTTCCTTTTTCAAGGCAAGGATATCCATATTCTTTTTAAATTCTTCCGCCTTGGCCCGTAGCCCATCTACCTGTGAGTTGAGCCATCCGATCTGCTCCGATCCTCTGTCGAACCTGCAGAATCGGATCGTTAATGGTTATCTCCAATTTATCTTCACTATCATGCAAAATTCGGAATGTCTGCTCAGCCATCTCCTCGTGCTCTTCCCGAGCTGCTGTCAAATCTGCTCGAAGTTTCTCACTAAGAAGCTTGTAAGAGTCACTCTTCTCAGTGAGGTTCCGAACCTCAGCCTCGTGCTCCTCTCGGATTTGGAGGAAGGCCTCGTGATGCAGCACCAAAGCCTACAAACATAGGAAAAATGTTAGAATTAAATACATATCTAAATATAAGAGAAACAACAAAGATGCCATCGAAGTTACCCGATTCAGAGCATGCTATGCCTCGTTGAAAAGGCAGGCGGGTCCTACCGCATTCATCACTGATTGATCCTCTTCGATCACCAAGGACCGAAGGTAACTGGCAACCCCCATGGGGGAATAGAAAATTCGGGTATCTTCCGGGACAGAGAGCACTACTCTCCGCCTGCGATTGAGATCAACACTCGGGGCCGGGAATCGGTCCACCAGTTTTAGAACTGATGAAGACCCGGTAGAGCCCGAATATGATGCTTTCTTTGGTATCGGTAATCCATCAAACACGATAACCTCATCCGAGGTAGCTGACTCGATCCCATCCAGAAAACCATGGATATCGGTCGGCTCCTGAATGCCCTCGTAGGATCGACCTTCCAACATGCTGGCCTCACGGATCATAGCATCCGATATCTGAGGGGATCCAGTAATATTGACTATCCTGAGCTCGTCCCTCGAGATATCTTTTGCTCGAGATGTCCTGCCCTCGATCTCTCCCTCGACCATCTCAGCTCGAGATTGAATATTCTCGGCTTTCCCTTATTCGGGAATCACGACCAAACTCCCTTGTTAACCTCCGCCGATTCGAAGGATTGTTGTATCACAACATTGGCCCGCACACAGGCTAACTCCTCTTATCCTTCTTCGGGCTCGTCCCTTAATCGGCAGATCGAGTCCAAAGGCATGATATCAGATCCCCCCTTGGGTTTGCGAGTTCTCTTCACCAGGTTTTTCTTGTTCGAGACCGGGGAACTCGGTGCATCTTTTCTTTTCCTCTCTTTAACCTGCTTCGGGGCAGGGACCTCTTCATCACCAGATGGGGGCCTCATAACAACATCCTTCCCGAGTCCTACAAAGGAAGAAAGGAGGGTGAGTAAGTGAAGAAGATCGAGCTACAAACAAACTGAGAAAGAAACTTACCATGACTACGGGCCTCCCATCGGCCCTTTGATAGTTCCACCCAAGCACGCTCAGAATACGGTCTCTGTAGTATGAGACCTTCAACCCATTGTTTAAGGTCCGTGATCGGTTCCGGCATCTGAGCCACAGCTGTAATAGAAAAAAGAATGGATCAAGGAAATGAAAGGCGGTCCCAAATTAAAATACTCGAAAGGAAGCAAATACTCACGGCTCATATTCCATTTCTCAGGAAACGGCATGTCGGCGACAGAAATCAAGTCCGAGGTTTTGACTTGAACAAACCGGCCTATCCAACCTCGATCACGAGTTTCGTCTATACTCGAGAACGGCGCTTTAGTGGCTCGGCGAGCTAGCTTGATCAGCCCTCCTCGATAGAGTCGGGGACTATAAATGCGTATAAGGTGATCGAGGGTGAAAAGACACCCCTCGATTTTGCTTGAGAAGAATCAAAGAAGAATCGCTATTCTCCAAAATAAAGGATGAATTTGGCCAAGGGCCACATCGTATCTTTTACAAAAAGCGACGATAACGGGATCTAATGGACCCAACGTAAACGGGTAAGTATAGACACTTAAGAATCTTTTCACGTGGGTAGTAATTGATTCTTCGGGCGATGGGACTACCACATGCTTGTTGCCCCAGTTGCATTCCTTTTTACCTTTTCAAGAATTTTCTCGGTGATTGAACACTGGTACCTCGAGACCGGCTCATATCGGCCTTGCACCGAAGAAGGTTTTTCAACTTTGAAATCAATGATAGTCGAGCACCCTACCGGAACGAACTCCTCAGGGCGGGGCTCCACCGCATCCTCGCCGCCGGTAGGCCGCGATGAAGAAGCGGCCTCTTTCTGCGGCACCATTTTGGAGATTTTCGCCATCGGTAAATAAAGGAAAGAGAATTGGGTTTGTTCATGATGTAAAGTATATGAAGCAGAGGGATTTTTGAAGAATATACAAGAGTAGAGGAAAAACTTTTGGGTAAAAAGTTTGGATGTGAATAAAAGTTTGAATATTTATAGGCATGATAATGACGATTCAATATCAGCAGTGGCCGACCATCATCTGACACACATTTAATGCCTCGGTAACTGAACCGACAGGACATTTAGCACGTACGTCATGGTCGGGCTCGATGTAAACATTAGTGTGTATCTAGTCATGTCGTTGAAAATTCATATCGTTTCTCGCCACATTCCTTCCGAGAAACGAGGGGACTATCTGTATACGGTCAAAATCGATTTTGCCCTTCGTGTAATTAGTCGAGATTAGGACATGATGGACCGAGGGTCGTCATCATAATATCAAGATGAGATCTGAAGCCAGGTTATCGAGCTCAAGATTCAGGGACCGATCAATACCGAGCTCGAAGTCAATATCGAGCTCAAATGCAAATCGAACTATGATGTGAAGTGGTGTTATCGAGCTCGAGATCCAGACCGATCAATACCGAGCTGGAATCGACGTCGAGCTCGAGTCAATATCGAGCTCGAGATAAAGAGATCGACCAATACCGAGACCGACCGAGATCGAGCCAAGAGACAAAGAGTCGTTGTAGGTGCATTGGGGGAGAGAATATCGGCGGGAATTAAGGAAAAACTAATTAACTAATCTATCATGGAATCCCCACTATGTATTTTTAATAACATCCAAAGTAGGTTCTTCCACTATATAAAGAGTGGCTATTATTTCTGTATAGGGGACGGAACATTCAGAGAAAACAAATATTGATACACTCACATTCTAAAGATTATCATATTGGTATATAGTTGGGATTATCCTTTTTTGAGCTTGGACATTGATGCATTTTGCTTGTTTATAAATCATTCTCTACTCAATTTGGTTTGTATTTCATTCCTTTATATAGTTGATATTCGATATATTTCTACTTACTTTTTCGATTTGTACCAAGCTATACCACGTATCCTTAGAACTACGTATAAATTCAACTCTATCCGTTTTTCGGGTAAATACAAATGTTATTAAAACGTATGCGATTTTACTTACTCAAATTGGCTGAGGAATAACATCGACTAGTTGGGGTTTGACATTAGCAATCAGATGAAGATATTGAGTACTTCTATCCTATAAATTAGTAAAATTCATATAATTGAGAAATTTATGTTTGTGTTAATTGAATATAGAAGCTAACAACCTTACCCAAATAAATATATGCCACATATTTGCATAAACACGCTATACTTTTTTTGTTGTTGTAAAAAAGTCGATGCACATAATACAATATATAACACAATACAAAGCACAAAATATTAAATATATATCATGATTACTACTATTGTACGGATACTATATCATACATAAAAACGGCACAAATAAATCTAACCAACAATAAAATATTTCAAGATAATAAATAATACCAATAAACTACACATTAGCCTTAGACGATTCATCTGCTTTCCATCTTTATTCAATTGTTCTTTCGGTCGATTTCTCTCTTGTTGAGTTTCGTTCAGCATATTTTTCAAGTAATTTCTTCTTTGTTCGGATTCATTCAACAACGTTCTAAGAAGATCCATGTCTTCTTCTTCTTTGAGCCTAAATTGTACTTCAAACTTCACGTTACTTTGTGAGTTTGATGTATCAGCATCAATAGTGAGCCTCCCCAACCGCGATATAATTGTGCTAGTTTGGTTTGTTGCGTGCCAATCATGCCACCTAACATACTCATTATCCTACAATATATACACAAATTAAACATGGTTGAATTACTCAAATTAGGAAGTTATAACCCTAAAATTTTCGATCAGGATTTTGTATCTATTATGAAGGTCTTCAACCCACAATATTATCTGCAAAAGCAAATGTTACGTTCTGTGGACGTCGTTGAACTTTGGTACATCTGTCATATAGCTAATCTAACAGAGAAAGCTAAAGAAGAGAGAAAAAATGGAAGAGAAGTTAAACAAGATATGAAAATAAGGGGTCATTTGGTACGACGGAGAAGCAAGAAGAATCGTGGAATAAAAATTTAGTACCTTCTTATCCTTTGTTTGGTTACTAATCCTGAGATAAGTTATTCTAGAATTAAAAATAGTATCCGGTATAACTTAGAGGGTGTTTGGCTAAGCTTATAAGCTGGTCAAACTGGCTTATAAGCACTTTTTGGCTTATCTACGCGTTTGGTAAAATTAAAAGTGCTTATAAGTTAAGCGCTTATAAGCCAAAAATAAGCCATAAGCCATAAGCCATTAAGTTAGTCTCCCCCAACTTATCAAATTTCAGCTTATAAGCACTTTAGGTTTGACCAAAATATTGACTATTCTATTCCTAAAATACTTCTTTTTAAAACAAAACTCTTCGTATAGTTTTACTCTATCCCGGTTCTTCATAAAATGTAAACAGTTGTTGCCTCTCCAGCCGTGCCATTGCTTCCTTTACGTGCTTCTTTCGTTCTTCTCTGCAACTATCAGACAAATTGCAGGTAATTTTTTTATGTTTTAAACACTCTATCAAGATATGTGTACAAATCCTCCTACGTGTTTCTATCAAGACAAGATGTGACTAAGATGAAAAGAATTGAAAGCTGAATGAATCCAATTTTTGATTTTGGGGTCCAAATCATAAGCTACTTTTGTCCCTTTCATCCCATATGTTTTAAACTTTACTGAGTATTTGTTGTTTGTCAAATTTATATTTCTCGGGCAGTATTTTTCTGCGTGTAATCAAAGTGACGGTACAAA